CCACTCCATTTTCCCATCTTTGTGGATCCTACAAACAAAAAAACTTTGTTTTYTCTCTAGAAGATATTCTCTTTGCCTTATCAGTAGCTCCTATATGATTTTGCAATTTTTATAGTACATTCATATACAAATTTGTATTCAATTTGTCTAGTAGATTTTTAACCAAAATTGTATTCAATTTGATTTTTATTATAATATACTGCCTTTTGTAAAAATATTAATATATTTTGATGCAAATATCTCTACTTGATTACTACAAAGTTATTTTTTGTCAACAAATCAAATACAATGTTTTCTTAAGGAAAATATTTTTCCAAGATTTTCCTCTTGACTTCTTATTTAAGTGATTAATAATGTCGAAATATAAGAGTCAGTAAAATGTCATTTAAATCACCCAACATAGAGAGGATGTGTGGATGTATGTACGATATGCGGCATATGCCCAAAGGAATCATATATATAAAAGAAGAGTGAACTCTCTCCATCTTTTCGACAAGTCATCATACAAGCTTCGGCCACATGTACAACTTCAAGTCAATCTCAATTTAATCTCATTTGCCTTTTGTCGCTATTCCTTTCATCTTCCTTCAAACATTTATTTAGCCTTTAAGAATACGAAAAGAAATCAAAACCGAGACCAAAGCAATTACTCTGCCTCTTCTAATACTTGTATTAGTATGAAACAGTCAAATCTTATTCTATCATCATCTAACTCGAAAAGCTCTCCTCCATTGACATTGATTCTTGAATCTTGAATCTATTGAATTGGTCAACTGAAATTTTTCTGCCCCAGCTTGGACCACAAGTCCCAATTTCACGACACACTAGAAGGGAAAACCGATGAGATAAACAAACAAGTCACGATGTATGAGGTTTAATTTCTTACCCTAAGATGTTTTTTTAGCTTAAATCAACCATTAATCGTTTGTTTATCGTCTTCATTGCACTTTAGAAAACTTCCAATTTTTGGCACTTATGATTTGTAGATCACTAATAAAAAGTCAAATTTGTTATCAATATATTTTTATGTCTGATTCTGCACTACCCTCCCTCATCCGAAATTCATTGTCTTTAACTTTGCCGACTTCGTGCACTTACTTCGATGAGGGAGAAACAAAGGAGGATGAGTTTTGAGTCTTTTTAGTACTGCTAATGTATACTCAGAATCCTCCTAACTGATCTCTTATGACTCTCATTCGATTTCTAAGGTTTTCCATGATTGAATTATGCTTATAGTTTGTTTAACCCAATTCAGGTTTTTCGTAAAAGGCTTCTATTGTAAGTGTAAGTGAGGTAATAACTAGTGCAGAAAATAAACGACACAAGAGAATTTTTACGAGGTTCGTTTCCTACAAAAAAATGCAAAAAATAATTTGCAATGGCCGAGATGTTTCCAAATTGGCCGAGAGGTGTACAAAAAACAGTTTGCAATTTATGTAACTTGTTCATTTAAAAAAATAAAACACTAAACAAACAATTCACAATTTCTCCACATCAAATGRAAACAWCAAAATCCCTAAAAATCGAGTATAAACACATCTAATTCAAACATCAAATTCRCTAAAAACATTTYCAAATAACTTGTTCAAACATTCCCTACCTAAAKAACCCTAAAAACAGCAATCTAACAACAATTTCATAAACTCTAACAACAATTTCATAAACGGTTTTTAAAATCTAATCGAAAGTGGCGGTGGAAACAATAAAATCTAACAACAATTTGGAGATTCTCTAACACATACATGATTTGCCGGTGGAGATGATGAAGAACCAACGCGGTGGAGTTGAAGAAGAACCGGCGCGGTGGCGTTTGGTGAGAGAACGGGCCGAGTGGTGGAGATGGTGAGAGAAAAAGAAGCTACGGCGGTGGAGGAGAAAGCCCGGCGACGGTGGAGAAATCGATTTCCGAAAGCCCGGCGGTGGAGAAATCGATGTCCGAAAGCCCGGCGGTGGAGAAATCGATGTCTTTCGCCCAGAGAAGACAGTGTTTAGCGGCGGAGAGAAAGAGGAGAGAAAGAGATCTGTGTACGATTTTTTATTCCAGATTTCCGACGGATTTAACGGTCGGAAATCCGTCGGAAAATTGTAAATTTCCGACGGAAATATCGGTCGGAAATAGTGAGGTC